TCGGTTCCTAAGGCAGGCCCCAGAAGCGCCAGGGAGTCCCTGGGTTCTCCACTAGGTGGGAGGACAGGGCTCCGAAGTGACTTTTGTCTACTTGGAAATGGACTGAATTATTGCGGAGTTTCCAGAAAGCCGGCTCAGAAGGAGGCTGGGAGCTTTCAGCGGCTTGCAACTTGTAGAGGGAAAAAGCTGTTGTCGGTCCCTAGTGAAGGGGGGAGGGCGCCGCCCTCTCGCCTGCTTGGGTGGGTCCGAGGAAAGCTGGAGGAAAACACGTGCATCTGTAACCAAATGACATTTGGATCCAGCAAGTGCAATGAGAGGCCCAGGTCCTCTCTTCTGGACTGGGCAAGAACATGTGCGAAAAAAAGATTCTGGCAGAGGCGAGATCAAGAGGGGCAGCTTGGGCAGCCGACACAACCTGTTGATGGTCGCATCAGAAGACTTCATTGGCCGCTGGGAAAGCAACAAGCATCTCACGTACTATGGTCGACCCAAGGATGACTGCACATTTCTTGAACACCTACTGTGTGCCAGGCACAGGACTAAGTGCCAGACTTCTGGTGCCTGACCTCAGTGAACTTCTACCCCGTTATTTTCGAATAACGGAAAGCAACATGAATGGTGTTCCGTGTAGGGATAATTATGGGTGCAGGAAAATTCAGAATGCAGAGATTTTGAGTCGAGCTTAGAAAAATGAGGAATTTTTCATTAAGTAAAATCCAAATAAAACAGCCCAAGCCCAGAGAAGGCAGGAAGCTAGAATAAAGTACTCTGCTGGAAAGCTTGTCCAAGGAAGCAGGGGCACACCTCTCCAGCAAGCTATCTGGCATCCTCACCATGACTTAGATGTGTAAGTGTGGGCAGGCGGGTTCGGGTCAGACTGCAGAGGTGCGACTGGAAAACCAGGCTGAGGAATCTGTATTTTATAGAGGGCTGGCAGCAAAGGTTTTACAGAAGATGAATTGGGGGGGGGGGGGGGGGGGAGGAGGGGGGGGCAGGGGGGAAGGGGGGAGAAAAAGTCAGTAAAAAAAACCAATCCCTGCCACAGCCTACTAGAGCTGTGATAGAGGCAGGCTTGTTTTTTGAGGTAGTGCCTTGTGTGTAGCAGGCTGACTTCACACTCTGTATATAGCCAAAGGTGACCTCCTGATCTTCCTGCCTCGGTCTTCCAAAAGCTGGGATTGCAGGCATGCACCACCATGCCAGGCTTCTTATGCTTTTACTATCTATTATTTCCTTTGTTTCCTCAAAATTCATCTGAAAGAAGTGAAGAATGAAGCAGGCATACAGAGGGCTGTGGTCCATGATTGCTCATGTAAGAAAGTCCTAATCCCAGGCCACAGAGAAGAGGGGAAAGACAGATAAGAGAGTCAAGGTTGACCAGTAGCCCAATCCTACTAGGAGCTGATAGATGTTCAACAAGAGATGCTGTATCAATAGGAGGTACAAAAGGAGGCCAAGTGAGATTGTCAGAGGGTCAGAGTGACCTGGGACCCATGACACATAAGGAGACATGCAGGACCAGTGGCTCAGAAACACATGAGGAATCCACCATTGCTTCCCATGGGCTGGATCCCTTCTCCTCCCTCCATTCATCTTCATCACCAGCATCTTACAGGGGCCTGAGCCTCGGGCTAGCTAAATGCATCTCTTGGGATCTGCCTTAGTCACTATTCTATTGCTATGAAAGACACCAGGGCCATGGCAACTCTTAGAAGAGAAAACATTTAATTGGGGGCTTGCCAGCAGTTTCAGAGGCAGTTTCAGAGGCTTAGTCCATTATCATCGTGGCAGGGAGGATGGTGATCATGGTGATAAAAACATAGTAGAGAAAGCAAGACTGGGTTTGGCATGGGCTTTTGAAACCTCAAAGCCCACCCCCCAGTGACACACTTCCTCCCACAAGGCCACACCACCTAATCCTTCTAGAAGAGTTCTACTTCCTGGTGACTAAGCACTCAAATATATGAGCCTACAAGGACCATTCTTTTTATTTTTTATTTTATTTTATTTTTCAGGGACCATTCATATTCAAGCCACTGCAGGGTCTTAAATAGAACTGAAGGACAAAGCAGCATTCTGAGTCCCCTGTAGACCCTGAGGAGTAAGGATTATTCTAGATTTCTCACTAAAGTCACCTACTGCACCCAGCCATGCATGTCAGAATTGGGTTACACAGGCTGGGAAGCCATGAAAAAACAAACAAACAAACAAACAAAAACAACAACAAGATTTCCATCCCAATTCTGCAGACCCACCAAGTCCTTCAGAGTCCTGAGTGTTAGAGCTGTGAATACGCCACCCAAGTGTCTAAACGGAGTTGGTGGGTACGCAAAAAGGAATCTACTGCTTTACAAAGGGTTAAAAATCATGGTGATGCTCACCTGAAATCCCAGCACTAGGGAGACTGCAGCAAAAGATCAGGAGTTTGAGGCTAGCCTGGGCTATCCAAGGAGACCCCCAACTCAAAGACAAAGAGCTAAACATCACCTTTGTAGAAGAATGGTGCTGGAGACCCAGAAGACAGCCTTAGTGAGCCTGGGAACTTGTATGATGGTGGTAGGAAGCTCAGACCTTTCCCCAGCCTTCTCCCTCAGGCTACTTCTGAAGGACTCTGGTGACTTGGTCTCTGGTACACTCAACCTTTAGGGTCAAAGAGCAGGGGGCCCAGCATCCCAACGTGAGGGACCAGAGAAGGGATGTCTGGGATAAAGAGGTCAGAGAGGTCATGAGCCTCACTCCCACTACTCACCATTGTCAAAGCAGACCCCTCCCCCTCTTGACCCTTTCTCTTCCTGCAGCACAGGGACAGAGCAAGCATCAGGACCGGCCAGCTGGGGATCTGAGTTGAGTCTCCTGTGATGCAGCAGCAGCAGCAGCAACAGTATAGGAGTAGAGGCATCCGACTTTGAGCAAATATGCATCACAGCATAGCAATCTTCATTTTGAACAATTTTGTCCTTCTCTTCCCACCTCTCCACTCCAATTTGTTCTCTGCTGACTGATGTTGGTACAGCAAAGAGGGTCCCCAGAGAAAAGCGTTAGCCAGGAGGCCTGGAGGGAGGAGGAGCCTCTGGACAATGTGGGAGGATGCAAAGAAAAGCGCCAGCCCTCTGCAGGGAGCAGGCAGGAGCCCTCAACATTGTTTCACCTGGCAAGGGTAATGGGAGGGGCTCTGAAGCTCCAGTAACTGGATCACTGGAGAGGGTAGTTTTTAAAACTAATAGGAGTTAGTGGGCAAGCCGTCCTGGGGCTAATGAGGTTTATAGTGACTCCAGAAAAGGAACAGATGGGAAACTGATTTATGTAAGGGGAGGTTTGGCTGGGGAAGTCCATGGTCCTTTCCTCTTGGCTCCCTTCAGCAGGGGGATCGGTCATGTAGGAAGATAAGGTTTAGGGGTCCTCTCCTTTGCTGGACTTGCCTAGACAAATTCTCTATGCACCATTCTGTCTGTACACACGCACACACACACACACACACACACACATGCGCGCGCGCGCGCGTTCTCGAGTTTTCTGAGTTGCAGTTTGAGAGGGAAATTGACAATTGACAAACACAGATAGAAAAAAATGATATACTACACAAGGGTGAAAGCAATACCTGTAGTCCCATCACAACAATGGAGAGGTATGGCAGGAGGATTGCCATGAGTTCAAAGACTGTACCAGAACAGACTGGCTTCTTCAAATTGTGCTTACTACTATTATGGATTCAGGGGGATTCAGGTGTTCAACAAGTGCTAAAGAGGCAGCATCTAGGGGTTCCGAAAGCAAGAACTAAGGTATGCTAGATCCAGGACAACCTGAAAGATGGTGCGGAGTTCAGGCCCTGTGCACAGGTTCGGTCTTGTTTTAGAGAATACTCAGTACGCATTTGCAGAGTGAATACACGAGTGCACCTTCCCATTTTAAAAGGAACAGAAACAAGTGTCACAAAGTTGGAAGAAAGCAGCCTTGGGGGATTTTCACTAAGTCTAGTCTAAATTGTGTTTGGTTTTGGAACACCTGGCCTTCCTTAGGTTCTCATTAGCAGAAGGAACCCCTCAAGGCAACAGAGATAATGTCAATTGTCCCTGGTCCATGCAGACAGTTTACTAAAAAAAAAAAAAAAAAAAAAAAATCCCAAGCCAGGTACCAGGGCAGTGTTCTGGGCTCCTCTCGAACCTGCCACCCAGACCCAAGGGAAAGAACTGGCTTTATCTTCCCAAGGACTGGAGAGATCCAATCAAAGTATACTGCTTTGGCTTCACTAATGCCACAAGAGGGCAGCCTCTTTGGGACAAAAGTGTGTTGGTATGCCATTACATACTTTTCTTTGGGATTAGCAGAGAAGTTACAGGAGTTTTCAGAGGAGACCAAAGAGATGGACTGCTATCAAG